TCATGTCTTTGTCGATGTCAGTAGATCCATCATGTCTTGGTCGATGTCAGTAGATCCATCATGTCTTTGTAGATCTCAGTAGATCCATCATGTCTTGGCTGATGTCAGTAGATCCATCATGTCTTTGTAGATCTCAGTAGATCCCATCATGTCTTGGTTGATGTCAGTAGATCACATCATGTCTTTGTAGATCTCAGTAGATCCCATCATGTCTTGGTTGATGTCAGTAGATCACATCATGTCTTTGTAGATCTCAGTAGATCCCATCATGTCTTGGTTGATGTCAGTAGATCACATCATGTCTTTGTAGATCTCAGTAGATCCCATCATGTCTTGGTTGATGTCAGTAGATCACATCATCTCTTTGTAGATCTCTGTGTAGTTATGTTGCTTGGTCTAAGTAGATCCCACAGATCTGAGTCATCCTGTGTATTAGCAGGTTTCCGTTCTCCAAAGGTCCGAGTCCAGAGGTCTTCTTGTTAGCTAAACCTCCTGCTCACTGCAGAGACAGATTTCCTGTCTACGTGAGTAATCAGCTTAAATCCTCACCACATCACTTTGTTGTTGGTCACTTGTTGAGCTGTGATTGGCTCCTGTTCACCTGCCGAACAGATTGAAGATGTGGGTCCAGTGTGGCTGTACCCATCGGTTCCTTTGGACTGTTTGATCGCTGATCCCAAGAAAGAATCCAAACTGTACGGCCTGAAGAGCTTCATTGAGTATCAGATCACCCCCAACGTAAGAAAACACCCCAATATACAGAATTATATGAATTATATGAATACACACATTTTACACAATCATACTCAGTCATACGCGCACATTTTACACAATCATACGCACACATTTTACACAATCATACTCAGTCATACGCACACATTTTACACAATCATACGCACACATTTTACACAATCATACTCAGTCATACGCACACATTTTACACAATCATAGGTACACATTTTACACAATCATACGCAATCATACGCACACATTTTACACAATCATACTCAGTCATACGCACACATTTGACACAATCATACTCAATTATATGCACACATTTTACACAATCATACTCAGTCATACGCACACATTTTACACAATCATACTTAATCATACGCACACATTTACACAATCATACTCACACATTTTACACAATCATACTCACACATTTTACACAATCATACTCAGTCATACGTACACACTTTACACAATCATACTCAGTCATACGTGCACATTTTACACACTCATACTCAATCATACGCACACATTTTACACAATCATACTCACATTTTACACAATCATACACACACATTTTACACAATCATACTCAGTCACACGCACACACTTTACACAATATATGTATGTAGGTAAAATACAGTAGTAAACACCTCTGACCCACTCCTTTGTGCAGACTACTTCCAGACCTGTCAATCATCGCTATAAGCACTTTGATTGGCTGTATGAACGTCTGCTGGAGAAGTTTGGCTCAGCTCTGCCTATCCCCCCTCTGCCTGACAAACAGGTCACAGGTGAGCTGTCACTATGACACCCACACTTGTACACCCTGAGCTGTGTGTCTGACAGGTCACCTGTGCTTTCAGGCCGCTTCGAAGACGACTTCATCAGGATGAGGATGGAGCAGCTGCAGGCATGGATGACTCGGATGTGCCGTCACCCTGTGGTCTCTCAGAGCGACGTCTTTCAGCTCTTCCTCACCTATGGAGACGAGAAGGCAGGTTAAGCCCCGCCCCCTTGCTTAGAGGATTGGTATCTGCATACTGATTGGCTGAAGTGTTTAAATGTTTCAGGAGTGGAAGGCGGGAAAACGGAAGGCTGAGAGAGACGAGATGGTGGGACCACTGATCTTCAGTCTTGTTGAACCTGAAGCCGCTGAGCTTGATGCTGCTGAGGTGTAAGTTAATCAATCCCATTATCAATCAGTTATTCAATCATCCAATCAGTCAGTCGGGTCAGTCAATCAATCAATCAGCTGATCAGTCGTGAATCATGACATGTGACTTCCCGTCGGCTAAGTGGAGTGTGTGTGTGTGTGTGTGCGTTTGTGTGTAGTGAGCAGAAGTGTGAACACTACAGTCGGTTCACGAGGTCGATGGACGATGGAGTCAGAGAGCTGCTGAATGTTGGACACACACACTGGAAACGCTGCACTGGACGTATGTGTGATGATGTGTACTTACACCTGTTCACCCACACCTGTTCACCCACACCTGTATACTTACACCTGTTCACCCACACCTGTATACTTACACCTGTTCACCCACACCTGTTCACCCACACCTGTATACTTACACCTGTTCACCCACACCTGTACACTTACACCTGTTCACCCACACCTGTGTATCTGTGTGTGTGTGTGTGTTTAGCCCTGCCTAAAGAGTATGAGAGGATTGGTCGAGCCTTCAGGAACCTATCGACTGTTTTCACCAGCAGCAGGTATCCAGGTGAGGAGATGAGGCAAGGAGGGAGGAAGCAAAGTTGGGTGGGTGAAATGGAGAAGGAAAATATAATTTTTTTGAGGTTGTCTGAAGGTCCCTGAACGCATCATCAAACTCTTTATTATTATTCAATATATGATTTTTCTGACGTCATGGTGTGATGTAGGGGAGGAGACTCTGACGGACGCTCTGACGGCTGCAGGTCAAACATACGAGCACATCGCAGAGATCGTGGCTCAGCAGGTAAACACAGGAAAAACGACTGCTGTCTGAGTTTACCTGTTTTTAATCTGTCATCATTCAGGATTATTCAAACATTTTAAATAAAGTTTGTAAATATTTCCTTTAAAATATTTTTCTTGAATTTTTACTTTTTGTGTTTTAACATTTTGTCTCTGTGAACTCTGACCTCTGACCTGTTCAGCCTCAGAAGGACCTTCACTTCCTGATGGAGACAAACAGCGAGTACAGAGGCATGCTGGGAAATTTCCCAGAAATCCTGGCTGTACACAAGGTACTGCAGTAACACAACACTCACACTACACACACACACTCCCACACACTCCCACAACACACACACTAACGTGTATGCGTGTGTGTGTATCTGTGTGTGTTATGTGTGTTCCAGGCTGCAGTGGAAAAGGTGAGAGAATCCGATCGTTTGGTTTCTGCAGGAAAAATCAACAACAGCGAAAGAAAGTTCATGAACCAACGACTGAGCAACATGAGCTACTCACTGCAGGGTACTACACACTACTACACACTATTACTCACTGCAGGGTACTACACACTATTACTCACTGCAGGGTACTACACACTACTACACACTATTACTCACTGCAGGGTACTACACACTATTACTCACTGCAGGGTACTACACACTACTACACACTATTACTCACTGCAGGGTACTACACACTATTACTCACTGCAGGGTACTACACACTACTACACACTATTACTCACTGCAGGGTACTACACACTATTACTCACTGCAGGGTACTACACACTACTACAGACTTACTCACTGCAGGGTACTACGCACTACTACAGACTTACTCACTGCAGGGTACTACACACTACTATACACTATTACTCACTGCAGGGTACTACACACTACTACACACTATTACTCACTGCAGGGTACTACACACTATTACTCACTGCAGGGTACTACACACTATTACTCACTGCAGGGTACTACACACTATTACTCACTGCAGGGTACTACACACTATTACTCACTGCAGGGTACTACTACACACACTATTACTCACTGCAGGGTACTACACACTACTACACACTATTACTCACTGCAGGGTACTACACACTACTACACACTATTACTCACTGCAGGGTACTACACACTATTACACACTATTACTCACTGCAGGGTACTACACACTATTACACACTATTACTCACTGCAGGGTACTACACACTACTACACACTATTACTCACTGCAGGGTACTACACACTATTACTCACTGCAGGGTCATACACACTACTACAGACTTACTCACTGCAGGGTACTACACACTATTACTCACTATTACTCACTGCAGGGTACTACACACTATTAGTCACTGCTACTCACTGCAGGGTACTACACACTACTACTCACTGCAGGGTACTACACACTATTACTCACTATTACTCACTGCAGGGTACTACACACTATTAGTTGCTGCTACTCACTGCAGGGTACTACACACTAGTACTCACTGCAGGGTACTACACACTATTACACACTACTACTCACTGCAGGGTACTACACACTATTACTCACTGCTACTCACTGCAGGGTACTACACAATATTACTCACTATTACTCACTGCAGGGTACTACACACTATTACTCACTAATACTCACTGCAGGGTACTACACACTATTACTCACTGCAGGGTACTACACACTATTACTCACTGCTACTCACTGCAGGGTATTATACACTACTACACACTACTACTCACTGCAGGGTACTACATACTATTACTCACTGCTACCCACTGCAGGGTACTACACACTATTACTCACTGGTACTCACTGCAGGGTACTACACACTATTACTCACTGCAGGGTACTACACACTACTACACACTATTACTCACTGCAGGGTACTACACACTATTTGTCACTACTACTCACTGCAGGGTACTACACACTATTACTCACTGCTACTCACTGCAGGTTACTACACACTATTACACACTACTACTCACTACTACTCGATGCAGGGTACTACACACTACTACTCACTGCAGGGTATTACACACTACTACTTCACACTGTACTGCACTGTACTACACACTACACACTACTACTACACACTGCACTACACAACTACACACTGTACTACACACTGCACTACTACACACTGTACTACACACTGCACTACACACTGTACTATACACTGCACTATACACACTGTACTGTACACACTGCACTATACACCCTGTACTGTACACACTGCACTATACACTGCACTATACACAGTGTACTCTACACACTGCACTATACACACTGTACTATACACTGCACTATACACACTGTACTGTACACACTGTACTGTACACACTGCACTATACACACTGTACTATACACTGCTCTATACACACTGCACTATACACACTGTACTATACACTGCACTACTGCACACTGAACTACACATTGCACAACACACTGCACTGCTACACACTGTACTACACACTGTATTCTACACACTGTTCTACACACTGTATCCTACACACTGCACTATACACACTGCACTACTACACGCTGCACACTACACTACACACACTGCACTACACATTGCACAACTCACTGCACTACACTGTACTGTTACACACTGTACTATACACACTGTACTACACACTGCAATAACTGTCCTAAACGGCCCGATTAGATTTGAGCTCTGGGTGTAACTTGACTCCTCTTAACCCCTGCAGCTGAGATGAACCATTTTCATAGCAACCGTATCTATGACCCACTGCAGGGTACTACACACTACTACTCACTGCAGGGTACTACACACTATTACTCACTGCTACTCACTGCAGGGTACTACACACTACTACTCACTGCAGGGTACTACACACTATTACTCACTGCTACTCACTGCAGGGTACTACATACTATTACTCACTGCAGGTTACTACACACTATTACTCACTGCAGGGTACTACACACTACTACACACTATTACTCACTGCAGGGTACTACACACTATTACTCACTGCTACTCGCTGCAGGGTACTACACAATATTACTCACTGCTACTCACTACTACTCACTACTACTCACTGCAGGGTACTACACACTACTACTCACTGCTACTCACTGCAGGGTACTACACACTACTACTCACTGCAGAGTACTACACACTATTACTCACTGCAGGGTACTACACACTATTACTCACTGCTACTCACTGCAGGGTACTACACACTACTACTCACTGCAGGGTACTACACACTATTACTCACTACTACTCGATGCAGGGTACTACACACTACTACACTACTACACACTACTACTCACTGCAGGGTATTACACACTACTACTTCACACTGTACTGCACTGTACTACACACTACTACTACACACTGCACTACACAACTACACACTGTACTACACACTGCACTACTACACACTGTACTACACACTGCACTACACACTGTACTATACACTGCACTATACACACTGTACTGTACACACTGCACTATACACACTGTACTGTACACACTGCACTATACACTGCACTATACACAGTGTACTCTACACACTGCACTATACACACTGTACTATACACTGCACTATACACACTGTACTGTACACACTGCACTATACACACTGTACTATACACACTGTACTATACACTGCACTATATACACTGTACTGTACACACTGCACTATACACACTGTACTATACACTGCACTATACACACTGCACTATACACTGCACTACTGCACACTGAACTACACATTGCACAACACACTGCACTGCTACACACTGTACTACACACTGTATTCTACACACTGTTCTACACACTGCACTATACACACTGCACTACTACACACTGCACACTACGCTACACACACTGCACAACTCACTGCACTACACTGTACTGTTACACACTGTACTATACACACTGTACTACACACTGCAATAACTTCCCTAAACGGCCCGATTAGATTTGAGCTCTGGGTGTAACTTGACTCCTCTTAACCCCTGCAGCTGAGATGAACCATTTTCATAGCAACCGTATCTATGACTACAACAGAGTGATGCAGCTCTACCTGCAGGAACAGGTGACCTTCTACCAGCAGGTGAGGGGTGCTGGCGGGGGTTGGGGGTTGAAACATGTTGTGTGATTTATGGTGACGTCATTGCCTCTCTGCTTTGTGATTGGTCAGATCGCTGATAAACTGAGAGCAGCTCTGAGCCGGTTCGCCACACTGTGAAGACCACGTGAGGATGACATCACTGATGACATCACAGCCACAGTTTGATGATTTTAATGTGGATTGTTCTTGATGTGTTAATAAACTTCTTTTTTGATACGTTTGACTTTAGACTAATTTAAATAAATGTCATTAAAAGAATGTTTAGAAGTCTCGTGTCTCCTCCATTTTGTAAAAGATGAGCGAGGTGCCATCGGGCCTCTCAGCCAGACTCCTTTAGAAAGCTGTCATTTTAAAGGTTTTAGCATTACTGCATATGAACGCATCGCTGCTCGAGAACTTTGCCTACGTATTATTGACAGTGAACGTCCTCATAATCATTCTATAGAAATAGCTGTCAGTCTGACGCCGCTGCTCGCTGGCGTTCTCACGCTGCTGATTTCAGCACAAGACGTGATCCGAACTGAAGACTTTGTTCAACACTGCTTCTTTTACTCTGTAAAAACTTCAGTTTGTGGATTTTTAAAACTGTTTAGATAAAAGGAATAGTTTATTTTCGAAAACATGGTGGAAACTTGTCAAATAACTTCGTATTAAACACCAAAATAAAAACATCGCAAACCAAAGTGACGCAGGAAGTTCAGGGTCCAAATCTCCAAACCTGAGAGAACTGCCAACCTGGATCACATCACAGATTAGCATGAAGCCGAACGAGTCCTTAAACACGTCAGAGATTTACCACGTGAAGCCGAACGAGTCCTTAAACACATCACAGCATCACGTGAAGCCAAACGAGTCCTTAAACACATCACAGCATCACGTGAAGCCAAACGAGTCCTTAAACACATCACAGCATCACGTGAAGCCAAACGAGTCCTTAAACACATCACAGCTTTACACTTTTGTGTATGATTCAAGATTTTTATTTGTCACGTGCTCATACAGATGTGCAGTGAAATGTAAAGACTGTTCCGCAAGGCCATGCAATAAACACTCAAATTACTAAAACACATAAATACAGTAAAATAGAATATAATGTAAAATTTAAAAAATAATTATTTGAATATACAAAATATAGAATATAGAATTATAGATGTAAACAGTGTAAAGTGTCCAGGGTGTCAGAGTGCAATGTGCAAATTGGAATGTGTGGTGTGTGCATCATGTAGTCACAGTTCAGTATGGGTGTGTCTCTGTGTGTGTGTCTCTGTGTGTGTGTCTCTGTGTGTGTCTCTGTGTGTGTGTTTGTGTCTGTGTGTGTGTGTGTGTGTGTGTGTGTGTTGTTGTCATGAGGATGGTGTTCATGTGATCAGCTGATTCTGTTTAAACGCGATCAGATGTTTCTTCAGTCTGAACTCGACACTCGGTGAGTCTTCATCTCCTTTCAAACCTTCATCATGTTTATGTTGTTTATGTTGTTTATCTTGATTATGTTGTTTATCTTGATTATGTTGTTTATGTTGTTTATTATAATTAGGGAAGGGTTCTGGGATAGGGAAGGGTTAACCAGCTCTCATTAGTGATAACTTCATTACATCTGATTAACTTTGATTGAACAGAGTTAAACTCAGAGTGAAACTTTGTGTTTCTTTGTTGAACTGATGAAATCGATCATCAGAGGAGGATGTTTGTTTTTTCTGCTGCTGAAAAAAAACTTCAAAGATTTCAGAATAAAAGAAATCAGTCTGAATTCAGAGAAAATGTGGATTTTTTTGTATCACATGCTTTTATCATGAAGGTTTGAGGACATAATATTTAAATTTAGTTTAAAGTTAAATAAAATGTGAGAGAGAAAACGAGAGACTTCATCAGGGTGTGGCAACGGACCGGCAACTCTCTCAGCATCAACGAGATTCTGTTTTTGATCTGAGTTTAAATCTGAATGTTTTAAAATGAGACTTTAAACACAATAAAAACTCACACAGTGTGTGAAGGGACCTGGGACAGGTAAACCAGCAGGTGTAACCCTCACCTGTAGGGGGAGCACCTCTGATCAGGATTTAAATAAAAAAAATTTTTATATTAAAGTGAAAACTAAGAAACACCAACAACAGAACCCTGAGGAACTCCTTCAGTCTTTATTTAAAGTGTCAGAGTGAAAGCATAAGATAAATATGTGTGCAAATATTTTGTATGGATTCCAGAGCAATGGAGCGTAAACTGGATCTGACTCGTCTGACGGATGAAGAGGCCAAACACGTGTGGGAGGTGATTCAACGAGACTTCAACCTCCGCAAGAAAGAAGAGGACCGACTCGGGTACGCACTTTGCATTTATGTAGTCCTCTTTGTTTAAATCAATTTATCTTTACATTAAAGGTCCAATCAGTGAGATGTGTAGAGAGTGAAATGATAAAGTGATCTTACTATCTGATCATTAAGGAAACATGCTATGTTGAAGTGCTGGCTTCTCTGACAACAATGCAGCAGCCAGTATGTCCTCCTTCTAACTTTAGATTCTGCTCCTGAATGCTCTGGATTTGTTTGGACCAGAGAAGGTAGGCGCTTTTAAGGCGACCCCCACTGACCCATGCAGAGCTGGATAAACACTGAAGCTTCAGAGTCCACCACATGGTGACCTGTGTGAGCATCCACTCTAGAGAGGAGGAGGGGGAGACAGCTCTCTATGATTTTTAGAATTTAGACTGCAGTACCCATTTTAAACACTAGGGGGTCAGCGTTACATACTTCTGTTTGTGTGACTCGTTCATGTGAACATCAGGAATGTGAGCGTGAAATACTCGCTTTTTGTTCACTTGACCACGACCCAGTCACACGGTGAAGTCAGCAGCAGAAAATATGAAGCTCACAAAGAGGCTCTGTGTTCCCTTTAAACACTCAAAATCCCATCAGCCCCGGGGGTAGAGGACACACTGCACGGACTCTGTTCACTTTCCTTTCAGAGAATCTCTGCTTAATAACGAGATGATCATCATCAGTGTAAAACAATCAACCATTTGATCACACACACACACACACACACACACACAGCTGACACGTTCAGTGTTAAAAAGGAGAAACTGTATATTTTGTGTGTGTGTGTGTGTGTGTGTGTGTGTGTGTGTGTGTGTGTGTGTGTGTGTGTGTGTGTGTGTGTGTGTGTGTATGCAGCGAGCTGAAGACTCGTATCGAAAAGGAGGACTCGAAGCGGGAGCTGCTTGGTGCTCAGACTCCGCTGTCAGAGTCTCACTGTATCCGCTGCCTGCAGCCCTTCAAGTTCCTGCTGAACAGCAAACGTCAGTGTTTGGACTGTCACATGTTCACCTGTAAGGCCTGCAGCCGCTACAACAAGAAGGAGCACGGCTGGGTTTGTGACAACTGTCGCATGACCAGGTGAGACTGAGTACAGGTGGGATTGAGTACAGGTGAGACAGAGTACAGGTGAGACCCAGTACAGGTGAGACAGAGTACAGGTGAGACAGAGTACAGGTGAGACAGAGTACAAATGAGACAGAGTACAGGTGGGATTGAGTACAGGTGAGACAGAGTACAAGTGAGACCCAGTACAGGTGAGACAGAGTACAGGTGGGACCCAGTACAGGTGAGACAGAGTACAGGTGAGACCCAGTACAAGTGAGACAGAGTACAGGTGAGACAGAGTACAGGTGAGACCCAGTACAGGTGAGACAGAGTACAGGTGGGACCCAGTACAGGTGAGACAGAGTACAGGTGAGACAGAGTACAGGTGGGACCCAGTACAGGTGAGACAGAGTACAGGTGGGACCCAGTACAAGTGAGACAGAGTACAGGTGAGACCCAGTACAGGTGAGACAGAGTACAGGTGGGACCCAGTACAAGTGAGACAGAGTACAGGTGAGACCCAGTACAGGTGAGACAGAGTACAGGTGAGACAGAGTACAGGTGAGACAGAGTACAGGTGGGACTGAGTACAGGTGAGACAGAGTACAGGTGAGACAGAGTACAGGTGAGACCCAGTACAGGTGAGACTGAGTACAGGTGAGACAGAGTACAGGTGAGACCCAGTACAGGTGGGACCCAGTACAAGTGAGACAGAGTACAGGTGAAACCCAGTACAGGTGAGACAGAGTACAGGTGGGACCCAGTACAAGTGAGACCCAGTACAGGTGAGACCCAGTACAGGTGAGACAGAGTACAGGTGGGACTGAGTACAGGTGAGACAGAGTACAGGTGAGACAGAGTACAGGTGGGACTGAGTACAGGTGAGACAGAGTACAGGTGGGTCAGAGTACAGGTGGGACTGAGTACAGGTGAGACAGAGTACAGGTTAGACAGAGTACAGGTGAGACAGAGTACAGATGAGACCCAGTACAGGTGAGACAGAGTACAGGTGAGACAGAGTACAGGTGAGACCCAGTACAGGTGAGACTGAGTACAGGTGAGACAGAGTACAGGTGAGACAGAGTACAGGTGAGACAGAGTACAGATGAGACCCAGTACAGGTGAGACAGAGTACAGGTGAGACAGAGTACAGGTGAGACCCAGTACAGGTGAGACTGAGTACAGGTGGGACTGAGTACAGGTGAGACCCAGTACAGGTGAGACTGAGTACAGGTGGGACCCAGTACAGGTGAGACAGAGTACAGATGAGACTGAGTACAGGTGAGACTGAGTACAGGTGAGACCCAGTACAGGTGAGACTGAGTACAGGTTAGACAGAGTACAGGTGGGACCCAGTACAGGTGAGACTGAGTACAGGTGAGACTGAGTACAGGTTAGACAGAGTACAGGTGAGACTGAGTACAGGTGAGACAGAGTACAGGTGAGACTGAGTACAGGTGGGACCCAGTACAAGTGAGACAGAGTACAGGTGAGACCCAGTACAGGTGAGACAGAGTACAGGTGGGACCCAGTACAAGTGAGACAGAGTACAGGTGAGACCCAGTACAGGTGAGACTGAGTACAGGTTAGACAGAGTACAGGTGAGACTGAGTACAGGTGAGACCCAGTACAGGTGAGACAGAGTACAGGTGGGACCCAGTACAAGTGAGACAGAGTACAGGTGAGACCCAGTACAGGTGAGACAGAGTACAGGTGGGACCCAGTACAAGTGAGACAGAGTACAGGTGAGACCCAGTACAGGTGAGACAGAGTACAGGTGGGACCCAGTACAAGTGAGACCCAGTACAGGTGAGACCCAGTACAGGTGAGACAGAGTACAGGTGAGACAGAGTACAGGTGAGACAGAGTACAGGTGGGACTGAGTACAGGTGAGACAGAGTACAGGTGAGACAGAGTACAGGTGGGACTGAGTACAGGTGAGACAGAGTACAGGTGGGTCAGAGTACAGGTGGGACTGAGTACAGGTGAGACAGAGTACAGGTTAGACAGAGTACAGGTGAGACAGAGTACAGATGAGACCCAGTACAGGTGAGACAGAGTACAGGTGAGACAGAGTACAGGTGAGACCCAGTACAGGTGAGACTGAGTACAGGTGAGACAGAGTACAGGTTAGACAGAGTACAGGTGAGACAGAGTACAGATGAGACCCAGTACAGGTGAGACAGAGTACAGGTGAGACAGAGTACAGGTGAGACCCAGTACAGGTGAGACTGAGTACAGGTGGGACTGAGTACAGGTGAGACCCAGTACAGGTGAGACTGAGTACAGGTGGGACCCAGTACAGGTGAGACAGAGTACAGATGAGACTGAGTACAGGTGAGACTGAGTACAGGTGAGACCCAGTACAGGTGAGACTGAGTACAGGTTAGACAGAGTACAGGTGGGACCCAGTACAGGTGAGACTGAGTACAGGTGAGACTGAGTACAGGTTAGACAGAGTACAGGTGAGACTGAGTACAGGTGAGACAGAGTACAGGTGAGACTGAGTACAGGTGGGACCCAGTACAAGTGAGACAGAGTACAGGTGAGACCCAGTACAGGTGAGACAGAGTACAGGTGGGACCCAGTACAAGTGAGACAGAGTACAGGTGAGACCCAGTACAGGTGAGACTGAGTACAGGTTAGACAGAGTACAGGTGAGACTGAGTACAGGTGAGACCCAGTACAAGTGAGACAGAGTACAGGTGAGACCCAGTACAGGTGAGACTGAGTACAGGTTAGACAGAGTACAGGTGAGACTGAGTACAGGTGAGACCCAGTACAGGTGAGACAGAGTACAGGTGGGACCCAGTACAAGTGAGACAGAGTACAGGTGAGACCCAGTACAGGTGAGACAGAGTACAGGTGGGACCCAGTACAAGTGAGACAGAGTACAGGTGAGACCCAGTACAGGTGAGACAGAGTACAGGTGAGACAGAGTACAGGTGGGACTGAGTACAGGTGAGACAGAGTACAGGTGGGACTGAGTACAGGTGAGACAGAGTACAGGTGAGACAGAGTACAGGTGAGACCCAGTACAGGTGAGACAGAGTACAGGTGGGACTGAGTACAGGTGAGACAGAGTACAGGTGAGACTGAGTACAGGTGAGACCCAGTACAGGTGAGACAGAGTACAGGTGGGACCAGTACAAGTGAGACAGAGTACAGGTGAGACCCAGTACAGGTGAGACAGAGTACAGGTGGGACCCAGTACAAGTGAGACAGAGTACAGGTGAGACCCAGTACAGGTGAGACAGAGTACAGGTGAGACAGAGTACAGGTGGGACTGAGTACAGGTGAGACAGAGTACAGGTGAGACAGAGTACAGGTGAGACCCAGTACAGGTGAGACTGAGTACAGGTGAGACAGAGTACAGGTGGGACTGAGTACAGGTGAGACAGAGTACAGGTGAGACAGAGTACAGGTGGGACTGAGTACAGGTGAGACAGAGTACAGGTGGGACTGAGTACAGGTGAGACTGAGTACAGGTGAGACAGAGTACAGGTGGGACTGAATACAGGTGAGACAGAGTACAGATGAGACCCAGTACAGGTGAGACAGAGTACAGGTGGGACTGAGTACAGGTGAGACCCAGTACAGGTGAGACTGAGTACAGGTGGGACCCAGTACAGGTGAGACAGAGTACAGATGAGACTGAGTACAGGTGAGACCCAGTACAGGTGAGACTGAGTACAGGTTAGACAGAGTACAGGTGGACCCAGTACAGGTGAGACTGAGTACAGGTGAGACTGAGTACAGGTTAGACAGAGTACAGGTGAGACTGAGTACAGGTGAGACAGAGTACAGGTGAGACTGAGTACAGGTGGGACCCAGTACAAGTGAGACAGAGTACAGGTGAGACCCAGTACAGGTGAGACAGAGTACAGGTGGGACCCAGTACAAGTGAGACAGAGTACAGGTGAGACCCAGTACAGGTGAGACTGAGTACAGGTTAGACAGAGTACAGGTGAGACTGAGTACAGGTGAGACCCAGTACAGGTGAGACAGAGTACAGGTGGGACCCAGTACAAGTGAGACAGAGTACAGGTGAGACCCAGTACAGGTGAGACAGAGTACAGGTGGGACCCAGTACAAGTGAGACAGAGTACAGGTGAGACCCAGTACAGGTGAGACAGAGTACAGGTGAGACAGAGTACAGGTGGGACTGAGTACAGGTGAGACAGAGTACAGGTGAGACAGAGTACAGGTGGGACTGAGTACAGGTGAGACAGAGTACAGGTGAGACAGAGTACAGGTGGGACTGAGTACAGGTGAGACAGAGTACAGGTGGGACAGAGTACAGGTGGGACTGAATACAGGTGAGACAGAGTACAGATGAGACCCAGTACAGGTGAGACAGAGTACAGGTGGGACTGAGTACAGGTGGGACCCAGTACAGGTGAGACAGAGTACAGATGAGACTGAGTACAGGTGAGACTGAGTACAGGTGAGACCCAGTACAGGTGAGACAGAGTACAGGTGGGACTGAATACAGGTGAGACAGAGTACAGATGAGACCCAGTACAGGTGAGACAGAGTACAGGTGAGACAGAGTACAGGTGAGACCCAGTACAGGTGAGACTGAGTACAGGTGGGACTGAGTACAGGTGAGACTGAGTACAGGTGGACTAAGTACAGGTGAGACTGAGTACAGGTGAGACAGAGTACAGGTGGGACTGAGTACAGGTGGGACCCAGTACAGGTAAGACCCAGTACATGTGAGACAGAGTACAGGTGAGACAGAGTACAGGTGAGACCCAGTACAGGTGAGACTTAGTACAGGTGGGACCCAGTACAGGTGAGACTGAGTACAGGTGAGACTGAGTACAGGTGAGACCCAGTACAGGTGAGACTGAGTACAGGTGAGACAGAGTACAGGTGGGACTGAGTTCAGGTGAGACAGAGTACAGGTGAGACAGAGTACAGGTGGGACTGAGTACAGGTGAGACAGAGTACAGGTGGGACTGAGTACAGGTGAGACTGAGTACAGGTGAGACAGAGTACAGGTGGGACTGAATACAGGTGAGACAGAGTACAGATGAGACCCAGTACAGGTGAGACAGAGTACAGGTGAGACAGAGTACAGGTGAGACCCAGTACAGGTGAGACTGAGTACAGGTGGGACTGAGTACAGGTGAGACCCAGTACAGGTGAGACTGAGTACAGGTGGGACCCAGTACAGGTGAGACAGAGTACAGATGAGACTGAGTACAGGTGAGACCCAGTACAGGTGAGACTGAGTACAGGTTAGACAGAGTACAGGTGGGACCCAGTACAGGTGAGACTGAGTACAGGTGAGACTGAGTACAGGTTAGACAGAGTACAGGTGAGACTGAGTACAGGTGAGACAGAGTACAGGTGAGACTGAGTACAGGTGGGACCCAGTACAAGTGAGACAGAGTACAGGTGAGACCCAGTACAGGTGAGACAGAGTACAGGTGGGACCCAGTACAAGTGAGACAGAGTACAGGTGAGACCCAGTACAGGTGAGACTGAGTACAGGTTAGACAGAGTACAGGTGAGACTGAGTACAGGTGAGACCCAGTACAGGTGAGACAGAGTACAGGTGGGACCCAGTACAAGTGAGACAGAGTACAAGTGAGACCCAGTACAGGTGAGACAGAGTACAGGTGGGACCCAGTACAAGTGAGACAGAGTACAGGTGAGACCCAGTACAGGTGAGACAGAGTACAGGTGAGACAGAGTACAGGTGGGACTGAGTACAGGTGAGACAGAGTACAGGTGAGACAGAGTACAGGTGAGACCCAGTACAGGTGAGACTGAGTACAGGTGAGACAGAGTACAGGTGGGACCCAGTACAGGTGAGACTGAGTACAGGTGAGACTGAGTACAGGTTAGACAGAGTACAGGTGAGACTGAGTACAGGTGAGACAGAGTACAGGTGAGACTGAGTACAGGTGGGACCCAGTACAAGTGAGACAGAGTACAGGTGAGACCCAGTACAGGTGAGACAGAGTACAGGTGGGACCCAGTACAAGTGAGACAGAGTACAGGTGAGACCCAGTACAGGTGAGACTGAGTACAGGTTAGACAGAGTACAGGTGAGACTGAGTACAGGTGAGACTGAGTACAGGTTAGACAGAGTACAGGTGAGACTGAGTACGGGTGAGACTGAGTACAGGTTAGACAGAGTACAGGTGAGACTGAGTACAGGTGAGACTGAGTACAGGTTAGACAGAGTACAGGTGAGACTGAGTACAGGTTAGACAGAGTACAGGTGAGACTGAGTACAGGTGGGACCCAGTACAGGTGGGACTGAGTACTTTCAGCTTATTGTTAACATTAATGTTCACTCATTAGCTACAGAGCCAGTGCAGAAACAGTAACACAGCAACAGTGCGATAGCAGAACTCTACCTGTGCAGGTAAATTGTCAGGCTCAGGTGTGCTGTGTTCACCTGCAGGGTGCTAAAGATCGGCACAGTGGGCTGGTACCATGACAACATCAGGAACCGCTTCAAACGCTTCGGCAGCGCCAAAGTGATGAGATCACTATACAAGAGGCTGAACGGAGACGGTGAGTGAGCTCTGACATCACAACAGCTGCAGGACACACCTGTGTGGGCGGGGCATGGGACGAAAACGAAGACCAAAACATTATGAGCAAGATACTCGTCTGTAAGAAGGTTTTTTTTAAGCTGGTACATGCTACTTGCTAACGTGGCTTCCTGCGTTTATTGTTCAGGTGGGCGAGATGATGACACTCAGAGCATGCCGGACGTTCGCACCTGTGAGTCACTTTATATCAACAGATATTTATTAATAGAATTAATTAAATATATAATATCAACAGTTATAATAAACAAAGAGTCTGAAGCTTTTACTTTGAAATGCCTAAAAATGAAATGTACTTTTTTATGTGTCGTTATTAACACAACGTTGTAGACATGAACAACGGTACAGAGGACGAGCGTGCAGAGGACGAGGCTCAGCGCTACAAAGTGGTAACGTGAAAATAAAAACATCAAAGTCCTGATCACAAATCAGACCAGAACTTTTCAAATTTACTTCCTGTTTCCTGTCAGATGAGGAAGAGTAAACGTCTGTTGTCAGTTCATCCTCTCGACTTTGACCCCGAAGATTACTTCCCTTACTCACGCCGACCATCTGTACAGGTAAACAAGTACAACAACACCTGAAGTACACAACACCTGAAGTACAACAACACCTGAAGTACACAACACCTGAAGTACAACAACACCTGAAGTACAACAACATCTGAAGTACAACAACACCTGAAGTACACGACACCTGAAGTACACAACACCTGAAGTACACAACATCTGAAGTACACAACACCTGAAGTACAACAACACCTGAAGTACACAACACCTGAAGTACAACAACACCTGAAGTACACAACACCTGAAGTACAACAACACCTGAAGTACAACAACATCTGAAGTACACAACACCTGAAGTACAACAACACCTGAAGTACACAACACCTGAAGTACACAACACCTGAAGTACAACAACACCTGAAGTACACAACACCTGAAGTACAACAACACCTGAAGTACACAACACCTGAAGTACAACAACACCTGAAGTACACAACACCTGAAGTACAACAACACCTGAAGTACACAACACCTGAAGTACACAACACCTGAAGTACACAACACCTGAAGTCTTGACAATAAACCTAGTATTCAATTTGAACAGCAGATGCAGGACGAGCGTGGCTACAGGAACGACATGGACGACTCATATAACCACCGAGTCAACCGCAGGAAGAGTGTGGATAGATACAACATGAGACCTGGTACACAATCACATGTCTGTATGTGCCTGTGTACCTGTATGTGTGTACCTGTGTGTGTGTGTACCTCTTTGCACCTGTGTGTGTACCTGTGTGTGTGTACCTGTGTGTGTACCTGTGTGTACCTGTGTGTATACCTGTGTGTACCTGTGTGTGTGAACCTGTGTGTACCTGTGTGTGTGTACCTGTTTGTACCTGTGTGTGTACCTGTGTGTGTGAACCTGTGTGTACCTGTGTGTGTCAACCTGTGTGTACCTGTCTTCTAGAGGACGTTGGGGACAGCAGGATGGTGCGTACTCGTTCTCTCTCTAAGATCAGCTCCTCGGTTGCTAGGCAACAGTACGTTGACACCTCAGATGAGGACGATTACCCTCGACAGCCCCCCCACTGGCGCAGGAACAGCAGAACATCATCACAGGAGAACCTGGGACAGGGTCAGCCTGTAAGAGAAAACAACAATAAATAAACAACAACAAAACATACAGAGACTTTATACATCACATCTGATTGTTTGTTTATGTTTGTTTGTTTTCTTGGCAGATGAACGAGCTGAACAAACGAATGTTCGCCATCGAGAGTCTGCTGAGTCGTCTGGAAGAGAAAATGACGCCTGCAGACGAGGTGTTGTTGTTTTCCTCTGTAAACATGCTTGTTGTTGTTTTCCTCTGTAAACATGCTTGTTGTTGTTTTCCTCTGTAGACTTGTTTGTCCTCTGTAAACTTGTTTGTTGTTGTTTTCCTCTGTAAACTTGTTTGTTGTTGTTTTCCTCTGTAAACTTGTTTGTTGTTGTTTTCCTCTGTAAACATGTTTGTTGTTGTTTTCCTCTGTAAACTTGTTTATTGTTGTTTTCCTCTGTAAACATGTTTGTTGTTGTTTTCCTCTGTAAACTTGTCTGTTGTTGTTTTCCTCTGTAAACATGTTCGTTGTTGTTTTCCTCTGTAAACATGTTTGTTGTTGTTTTCCTCTGTAGACTTGTTTGTTCTCTGTAAACTTGTTTGTTGTTGTTTTCCTCTGTAAACTTGTTTGTTGTTGTTTTCCTCTGTAAACATGTTTGTTGTTGTTTTCCTCTGTAGACTTGTTTGTTCTGTGTAAACTTGTTTGTTGTTGTTTTCCTCTGTAAACATGTTTGTTGTTGTTTTCCTCTGTAAACTTGTCTGTTGTTGTTTTCCTCTGTAAACATGTTTGTTGTTGTTTTCCTCTGTAAACATGTTTGTTGTTGTTTTCCTCTGTAGACTTGTTTGTTCTCTGTAAACTTGTTTGTTGTTGTTTTCCTCTGTAAACTTGTTTGTTGTTGTTTTCCTCTGTAAACATGTTTGTTGTTGTTTTCCTCTGTAGACTTGTTTGTTCTGTGTAAACTTGTTTGTTGTTGTTTTCCTCTGTAAACATGTTTGTTGTTGTTTTCCTCTGTAAACTTGTTTGTTGTTGTTTTCCTCTGTAAACATGTTTGTTGTTGTTTTCCTCTGTAAACTTGTTTGTTGTTGTTTTCCTCTGTAAACATGTTTGTTGTTGTTTTCCTCTGTAAACTTGTCTGTTGTTGTTTTCCTCTGTAAACATGTTTGTTGTTGTTTTCCTCTGTAAACATGTTTGTTGTTGTTTTCCTCTGTAGACTTGTTTGTTCTGTGTAAACTTGTTTGTTGTTGTTTTCCTCTGTAAACATGTTTGTTGTTGTTTTCCTCTGTAGACTTGTTTGTTCTGTGTAAACTTGTTTGTTGTTGTTTTCCTCTGTAAACTTGTTTGTTGTTGTTTTCCTCTGTAAACATGTTTGTTGTTGTTTTCCTCTGTAAACTTGTTTGTTGTTGTTTTCCTCTGTAAACTTGTCTGTTGTTGTTTTCCTCTGTAAACATGTTTGTTGTTGTTTTCCTCTGTAAACATGTTTGTTGTTGTTTTCCTCTGTAGACTTGTTTGTTCTCTGTAAACTTGTTTGTTGTTGTTTTCCTCTGTAAACTTGTTTGTTGTTGTTTTCCTCTGTAAACATGTTTGTTGTTGTTTTCCTCTGTAGACTTGTTTGTTCTCTGTAAACTTGTTTGTTGTTGTTTTCCTCTGTAAACTTGTTTGTTGTTGTTTTCCTCTGTAAACATGTCTGTTGTGCAGATGTCAGCTCACACTGAGGAGGAGAAGCTGAGGAGGAAGCTGAGCGAGCTGGCGGGGAACCTGAGCGATAAAGGGGGGCTGTCGTCGGACGACGAGGCCAACAGGAAGCCCTCCATTCTGGGCAGAGGTCGGGCCGGAGTTAAGGGGGGCCCGGGGGTCTCTGTGAAGGACAAAAGACTGAGCTCATCCAGCGACGAGGCGCCCACCGAGGCTCAGAAGGTAGGACGAGATCACCTAACATCTACAGAAAACACTGTAAAAAACTCAGAATGAATACTGTTAGTGTGACTGACAGGTGTTTACAGTTGAGTCAGGAACAAGAAACAGGAAGTCCTTAACCAAGAAACTCCAAATTAAAACTCACACAGTGCTGCGGTGCATTCAGGTCCAGACAGACTGTGGTGCATTCAGACTGTGGTGCATTCAGGTCCAGACAGACTGTGGTGCATTCAGACTGTGGTGCATTCAGACTGTGGTGCATTCAGGTCCAGACAGACTGTGGTGCATTCGGGTCCAGACAGACTGTGGTGCATTCACTGACACCCTGTGGGGCGTTCTGCCGCTAACAACTGTCCTCCACGTGGTTTTTCAGAGATCGACGGCCGCCGCCCTCTGTGACCTCACCACCGAGGTCCTGAGGACCATAAACGCCACAGAGAATGCCATGGTGGAGTTCGGCCACTCAGATCCCCCACACAGACCCTCGTTAGCCAGCTCTGATGTAAAGCAGGCAGATGATGCGTTCAGGGAACTTGAGGAAAATGTAAGCTTCAAACAGGAAGTACCTGTCACGTTCTCACTCCCAACGAATCAGTCAGAGGCCCAAAACTTCAAAATAAGAGTCTGAAAGTTATCCTGAGGTTTTAAAATGAAGTCATGTGGGGGGGAGAGACCATGGTTCGATTCCTGTCTGAACGATGTTTTTGTTCGTTTGTCAGCTGACTTTATTTTGAAATTCTGACCAGATGTTTGTGATTTGTTGTTGCTTAAAACAGGAAGTCAAATATGACACTTTGTCACGGCCATTTGTTTTCATCTATATGTTTATATGTCCGTTTACTTTCTCTCTAACAGGAACAGGAAATGTTCTGTTTGTTCAGGTTTACAAAATAAAACAACATTAATGTTAGGAAACATCTCCTAACCCCCCCCCCACCACACACACACACACACACACACACACACACACACACACACACACACACACACACACACACACACACACAACACACACACACACACTAAGGGAACTTCTTGAAGTTTGGTGATGAGACGTTTAGGGCCCTGACAAAGTGTCAGAGTTGACATGTTGGGATGTGAAAAGTGACGCTGCATCAGGTTATGTTTTTATTATGTACTTCCTGTTCTTTCAGTTCCTGCCCCTCATCATCCTGACACACCTGGATGATGAGGGGCAGGAACACAAAAACACAAAAACATGACCTGATGCTAAAGGTGTGTGTGTGTGTGTGTTACCTGTGCAGGTGTTACATGTGTTGTAAAGGTGTGTGTGTGTGTGTGTGTGTGTGTGTGTGTGTGTGTGTTACCTGTGCAGGTGTTACATGTGTTGTAAAGGTGTGTGTGTGTGTGTGTGTGTGTGTTACCTGTGCAGGTGTTACATGTGTTGTAAAGGTGTGTGTGTGTGTGTGTGTGTGTGTGTGTGTGTGTGTGTGTGTGTGTGTTACCTGTGCAGGTGTTACATGTGTTGTAAAGGTGTGTGTGTGTGTGTGTGTGTGTGTGTGTGTTACCTGTGCAGGTGTTTACATGTGTTGTAAAGGTGTGTGTGTGTGTGTGTGTGTGTGTGTGTGTGTGTGTATGTGTGTGTGTGTGTGTTACCTGTGCAGGTGTTACATGTGTTGTAAAGGTGTGTGTGTGTGTGTGTGTGTGTGTGTGTGTGTTACCTGTGCAGGTGTTACATGTGTTGTAAAGGTGTGTATGTGTGTGTGTGTGTGTGTTACCTGTGCAGGTGTTACATGTGTTGTAAAGGTGTGTGTGTGTGTGTGTGTGTGTGTGTGTGTGTGTGTGTGTGTGTGTGTGTGTGTGTGTGTGTGTGTGTGTGTGTGTGTGTGTGTGTTACCTGTGCAGGTGTTACATGTGTTGTAAAGGTGTGTGTGTGTGTGTGTGTGTGTGTGTGTGTGTGTGTGTGTGTGTGTTACCTGTGCAGGTGTACATTGCAGCAGGTCAGTCATTCGAGATCGAGTCGAAGTTGCGGCGGTTGGAACAAAGCGCCAAGAATCATTTTGGAGGGGCGACAGACTCGGAGCTGTCGGAGCTGGAGGACGTGGTGGCCCTTACTGCCGCCAGGGTCCAGAGTGCCGAGAGCGAGGTGGGTGGAGTCAAACAGCTGGATGACATAGTAACAAAGGTGATGATGTCACAGTTCAGGACATGATGTCATATTTTCTGTACAGGTGTCTGACATTGAAACTAAGATCGCTGCTCTGAACGCTGTCGGCTCCAAGAAAAAAGTGAGAATCATTTTTTCTCTTGAAGAGGTTTAAACCTGATGACATCATCTGATGACATCATCATGAGGTTATTTGTGTCATACTTGTCTCAGTTGGAAATGTGTTTGTTTAACCCCATCAGGTTTCAGGATCTCACCAGAAGAAGAAGTCTTCCCAGGCGTCCAGTAAGAATCCTGTTCTCGTCTTTTGATTGATCAATGTTCTCGCCATGTTTTCATCGTGTTGTTTTCATCGTGTTGTTTTCATCGTGTTGTTTTCATCATGTTGTTTTCATCGTGTTCATCGTGTTGTTTTCATCATGTTGTTTTCATCGTGTTGTTTTCATCGTGTTGTTTTCATCATGTTCATCGTGTTGTTTTCATCATGTTGTTTTCATCGTGTTGTTTTCATCATGTTGTTGTTTTCATCGTGTTCATCGTGTTGTTTTCATCATGTTGTTTTCATCGTGTTGTTTTCATCATGTTGTTTTCATCGTGTTGTTTTCATCGTGTTGTTGTTGTCATCGTGTTGTTGTTTTCATCGTGTTGTTGTTTTCATCGTGTTCATCGTGTTGTTTTCATCATGTTGTTTTCATCGTGTTGTTTTCATCATGTTGTTTTCATCGTGTTGTTTTCATCATGTTGTTTTCATCGTGTTGTTTTCATCGTGTTGTTGTTGTCATCGTGTTGTTGTTTTCATCGTGTTGTTGTTTTCATCGTGTTGTTTTTATCGTGTTGTTGTTTTCATCGTGTTGTTTTTATCGTGTTGTTGTTTTCATCGTGTTGTTTACATCGTGTTGTTTTCATCGTGTTGTTGTTTTCATTGTGTTGTTGTTTTCATCGTGTTGTTGTTTTCATCGTGTTGTTGTTTTTATCGTGTTGTTTTCATCGTGTTGTTTTCATCGTGTTGTTGTTTTTATCGTGTTGTTTTCATCATGTTGTTTTTATCGTGTTGTTGTTTTTATCGTGTTGTTGTTTTCATCATGTTGTTTTTATCGTGTCGTTGTTTTCATCATGTTGTTGTTTTTATCGTGTCGTTGTTTTCATCATGTTGTTTTTATCGTGTCGTTGTTTTCATCATGTTGTTGTTTTTATCGTGTCGTTGTTTTCATCATGTTGTTTTTATCGTGTCGTTGTTTTTATCGTGTTGTTGTTTTCATCATGTTGTTTTTATCGTGTCGTTGTTTTCATCATGTTGTTTTTATCGTGTCGTTGTTTTCATCATGTTGTTGTTTTTATCGTGTCGTTGTTTTCATCATGTTGTTTTTATCGTGTCGTTGTTTTCATCATGTTGTTGTTTTTATCGTGTCGTTGTTTTCATCATGTTGTTTTTATCGTGTCGTTGTTTTCATCATGTTGTTGTTTTCAACTTTTTGTGTCGACAGAATCAAGTAATGGAGCTCCGCGGAAATCCAACAACATGTTCTGAAAACAAACAAACAAACAAACAAACAAAGGTGTTTATTCTTTATTCTAACAAAGTCTTTGTGTTGTCTGTTATTAATATTTTCAGTCTTTACACTGTAAAAAATAACAAGTTAAGTTTGAACATATTTTCTGTTAAACTCAGAAACAAAAGAAATATTTTAATCTTTTTACTCCCACTAACTGTAAACAAATAAACAGGAAGTGACTTTAACATGTTTACAGTACAAGTTTGTTTCTATTTGGACCAACCACAACACAGATAGATGATGAGGACCAATCACAACACAGATAGATGATGAGGACCAATCAAAACACAGATAGATAATGAGGACCAATCACAACACAGATAGATGATGAGGACCAATCAAAACACAGATAGATAATGAGGACCAATCACAACACAGATAGATAATGAGGACCAATCACAACACAGATAGATGTTGATGTAGAGCTTCTCTCAGTTTTTAGAGGACCCCCCCCCCCCCCATCTTGACTTTGTGTTAAAAAGTGGAGGATTCAAATTTCTGCTTTTATTGTGAAATGTGTCACAGGAAGTTGTTGTCCAAAAGCATTTATGTTTGTTTATAATTCTAATAAACGTGTGACAAAAAAAGATGGCTCTGAGTTTTAATTTATAATTTATTAGTTTTTAAGCTTTTTATTGAATAATGTTTTTATGATTAATACACAAAGAAGAAGACAATTGAAGTTAATTATATAGCTACCCTTATTCAAAATAAAACTTCATGGTATATTTTAGACTGATTGATCATGAAT